ACCGCTGAGCCACGCCCCCAGCCCCTCACTGGGGGATTCTAGGCAGGTATTCTTTTACTGAGCCACGCCCCTAACCCTGAGTGGAATAGTCTAAGCAAGGGCTCTACTACAATACCAAGGTACAGAAAGCATCAACCCACATATTATTACTCCTTCACCCTGTGAGGGAAGCCAGATCTTAAGGACAAGGGAGAGGCAAAGGGCAACCACAGCCCAGGATTTCTCATTCAACCACAGAACCCTCAGGCTCAGGGATGTGTTTGAAGGGGAGCTCCCAGGGGCAAGGAGAGAAGGAAGAGAGATAACCCATCTTCAAGGCCCAGGCCTGGGGCTATGTCTCAGGAGTGTGGAGTAGTTAGAACTGGGTCTATTCAGGTTTTCTTTTATGAGATACCTAAGGCAGGTATCATAAACTCATTGAGCCTCCCCTGACTCTTCATCCCTGAAAAGAGCTCCCTGGTCCTTGCCCTGGGGACTGGAGTGACTCCATAATAGGACAAGGTAAGCAAACCCCTCTAGCAATGGGACCAGCCACAGTTGATCTCAGAAACCCCTTTTAGCACCCCTCTGCCTCGTCCTCACCATCAACAGAGGCCAGAGAGGCAGGGCAGGCAGGTAGGAGGGGAAATAGATGAGGAGGAGGGCAGAGTGGGAAGGTAGGAAGAGGGACTGGAAGCCAAAGAGAGTGAGCAGGTATTGTCCTGGCAGTGGGCAGATGAATTACAAGGGAGAGGTATCAGGGTGATGCACACTGTGCATGCAGAGGTGGAAACTAAGGCAGGGTCCAGGACAGTGTGTACAGCCAGAGGACAGCGCCCGGGAGCCCAAGCACGTCTCCGTCTATGGTTATACAAACATGAGGGCCAAGCAGGTGAGTTATCTCCTTCCTGCTCCCCGCCCTTCCGTAGGCCCTGGAGAAGCTCGCTCACCCTTTAGTTTCTCCCCAAACATGGTCAGGAAGACTGTGAAGTTGATGGGCCCTGGGGCTTCCTTCACCATGGCTTCCAACTCCTCGTTCTTGACATTTATGCGACCTGGAGAGGGGGAGGGGAAGAGTGTAAGGGGCCTGGAGGGACACCACCTGCAAGAAGCCAGGGAGAGTCCTGCTGTCTCTCCTGCTTCTATGAGTCAACCTGTCTCCACCTGGCCCTGTCCACCCATTAGGGAGATTTGGGGGAAACATTGGAGTCTACAGGTTATTGGCCCACCCCTCCCCCAACTTCCCCTCCCTCCTCTCAAGCTTCCTGGAAAGCAGAGCAAGACTCTCTGAATCTCCCTTTCACAGATTCAAAAATGAAACAAAAACAAACAAAGGCAAAAGGGAGGGAGAAGGAGAAGAAGGAGGAGGAGGAGGAGGAGGAGGAAGAAAAGGGGGAGGGACAGAAGGGGGAGGAGGGGGAGGAGGAGGGCAGCATGAGGACCCTCAGCCTCAGGTCTCATGCACTCCTAGGTCCCAGTGGGCACTCAGGTTCCCAGAAACTCAAAACTCAACCCATATTGGTGCCTTAGGTCAACCACCCTATCTTCTCCAAACCCAACTTTCTTCTGTTTCATTTTGAGACACTGTTTTGCCATGTAATATAGGCAGACACTCACACTAAATCAGAAATCCCCCTGCCTCGGTATGAGAGTGCTGGGATTACAGACATGTATTATAGCACCTCTTGGACCTCTCACTACCCCAGGGCCTTTGCACAACGTCAAAAAAAATCTTAAAATGTCTTTCCCTAGCCATCAAGTCCTCCTGTCGCATTGGGAACCTTCCTCTCCACTGGGCTTCCCAGTTCTCAAGCCCCTCACTGAGGCTGCCTTGGCCTACCCTTCTCACCTCAGTCATTAGCTCTACCCTAAGCCCCAAGCTTTCCCAGCTCTACTCACCCAGTGCAGCAAAGGTGTCCCTCAGGTCCTCCTTGTCAATAAAGCCGTCACGGTTCTGGTCCATGATAGTGAAGGCCTGATGAAGACATTGGCTCTGAACCGCCAGGGCCCACCCAGACCCTGCCCTTCTCCCCAGGGTGTCCTTGGCTGTCTGCAGCAGTAGAAACCTCAACCTGGAGCCTGTGAGCACCCCAAGTGCCAATTTAGTTTCGTGCACACTGCACCCTGGGAACTGTAGTCCACCCTCTCTGAACCTCTATCCTGAGTGCTTTGGGACTCCACACTCATTCTCTCATTTCAAGAGCACAGCGACTCCAAAAGAGAGACTAAGGCTCAGAGATGGAAACGGGGGCTCAGAAAGGGAAAGGCGTTTCCATAGGTCACACAGCAAGTACAGGCTCCGGTAGAGAGTAGAGCAACAGAGGGAGCCGTGAGGACCTTGAGGACTGAGGACAGCGTGGGCAGCCACAGTGGGCTCCTTGAACAACCTCTGTGAATCCCGGCGATCCTCCTGTGATGGCCTATCTTTATTGTTAATTTGGCTGGCTTTAGAATCACTCTCTGGGCACATCTGTGAGGGGTTTTCTTTTCTTTTTTTTTTTTTTTAAAGATTTATTTATTTATTATATATGAATACACTGTAGCTGTCTTCAGACACACCAGAAGAGGGCAGCGAATCTCATTACGGATGGTTGTAAGCCACCATGTGGTTGCTGGGATTTGAACTCAGGACCTCTGAAAGAGCAGTCAGTGCTCTTAACCACTGAGCCATCTCTCCAGCCCCATGTGAGGGGTTTTCTAGACTGGGCTAATTGAGGTGGGAAAACCCACCTTAAGTGAGGGCAACAGCATCCCGCGGGCTCAGTTTTTGACTGAATGAAACAGAGACACGAGCTAAGCACCAGCGCTCATCTCTCTTGACTTCCTGCCCCTGGCTGCGGTGTGTGTGACCAGCTCAGGTTCCTGCTCCTAGACCTTCCCCAACCCTCACAGACTGTACCTTAGAATTGTGAGCCAGAATTAGGGAAGCCTTCCTTCCTTAAATTGCTTTTGTCAGGCATTTTGTTGCAGCAACAAGAAAACTAACTAATATAGACTCCCAGGGTCCCCAGGGCCGCCAGCGCCACCAACCAACCTCTTTAAACTCCTGGATCTGGGACTGGTCAAACATCGAGAAGACGTTAGAGCTGGCTGTGCCTTCTACTCTCTTCCGGGCTCTTCTGGGTGCCTGGGGGAAAGAGGTAAAACCTTGTAGCCTTTGCCTCTTTCAGAGGTCACCAGTCACCAGTGTCAGCCACAGGTACCTGAACACCTCGGTCCAAGGAGGTTCCTTCTTCCTCATACACACGGCAGCCAGCTGAAGCACTTGGACCGAGTTTCACAAGTGTCAACTGGACAGGACCTAGAGTCACCATAGAGACAAACCTCTGGGCATGTCTGCAAGGGAGTTTCTAGATTAGTTCATTGAGATGGGAAGACCTACCCTAACAGTGGGTGGCATCATCCCATGGGCTGGAGTCCTGAACTAAATAAAAGGAGGCAGTGACCTGAGTACCAGAGTTCTCTGCTTTGTGGCTGCCAGTGCAGTGAGATCAGCCGCTTCATCCTCTTGCAGCCATGACAACCCCACCGGAAGCTGGGCGGTATCCTTGAACAGTGAGCCAAAACAAAGTCCTCCTCCTCCTCCTCCTCCACCACCTCTTCCTCCTTCTCCTCCTCCTCCACCTGGCTTTGGTAGGTTTTGTTTGTTTGTTTGTTTTTTTGGGTCTTTTTTTTTGTTTTTTTGTTTTTTTGTTTTTTTTGTCTTGTCACAGCATGAAAGAAGTATCTAATACAACAGTCTTGCTTTTCTCAGCTTGGGGGAGAAGTCTGCAGAGTGTCTACTGCGCAGGGTGGGGCAGCTGTTCCCAACCCAGTCACCCACCCATGCCCAGGCTCCCGAAGCAGGTGGGCTCTTTTCTATCCCCAGCCTTTGTGTGGGACTTCCGGATCTCCCACTAGTCACCATCTACTCTGCTGAGATCCTAGTCTTGTCCAGCTGCTACAAGCTTCCAGAATGTTCTTAGCATACTGTTTCGGCTCTTAGTCCTGCAAGAGTATTTCTAGACAGGACCTCAGCACTCCCTGTCCACTCGTACGGGTTCCTTCCCCTCCCCAAGTCCACTTTGAGCTTCTTCTATCCCAAACATCTGGTCCATAGCGTGCATGTGTGTGTGTGTGTGTGTGTGTGTGTGTGTGTGTGTGTGTGTAGGTTAGAGGACAGAGTTCAGGTGTTGGTTGTCTCCTTCCTTCCATCATGTGAGGGATCAGAGAGATTGAATATTGAATTCAGGTCATCAGCAAGCATCTTTTACTGTCTGGGACATTTCTCAGTTACAGTTTTGAGACAAGATCTCTGGTTGGCCAGAGTTTACCTATTCAGCTAGGCTGGCCAGCTAGCAAGCCTGTGTGACCCGCCATCTCTGTGTCCTCAGGGTTAGTATGTCCACAGCACTGGGACTACAAGCATGTGACACCACACCCAACTTTTTTCCACCTGAGTTCTGGGGAATCAAACTCAGGACTGTATGTTTACAGAGCACACATGTTACCAACACAGCTCTCTGCCCAGCTTCTTAAACGTGACTCTCAGTGTCAGAAAGGAACAAACGTCTGGGCCCAGGGTCCCTGCCAGATAGCAACCATCTCTAGTCCCTCTAGCTGGGGTTTCCCCAGCTTTGCCCACACTCACCTTAGCACCTGTGTGGTCTCCCCACTCTCCCTTTTCCCTAGGGCTCCTGGGCCCATGTCAGGAGCAACAACCCAGCGACTTATAATTAGCTTTTACTGGGTGCTAGTCTTGAGTAATCCTTTGAAAGAGGGGGGTGGCTGACAAGGAGGCCACACGTGGGATGCTCTAAGCCTAGGAAATATTTATAAATCCCATCAGATATAAAGAAAAGAACTCCCCTGTGGAGTTCATCTCTTGTAATTACATATACATTTCCCTCTGATTAATAAAAAAATTATTGCTTCCGTCAGCCGGATATTCCACTAGTTCTCAGGGCTGTGGCACACACACACACCCCACACACATGTGTTTTCCACTCTGGCCTTTCAGGTCCACCTGGTCACGGGCCCTCTTGTAGGCTAAGAGCCCTACAAGACAGGAAGGGCTCAGCTTTTATCTGGCTTGGAAGTTCAAGTCCATACTACACCTCTGAAAGATAAGTTTTATTCTGAAGGAAACAGTCCAAGAAAGGAGGGGGAGCTACCCTGACCTGGATTTTCACCCTGGCCTTGTGATAAGAAAAGCAGATCACGTGACTGGAGAGATTAGCTTAGTGGGTAAGAGTGCTTCCTGAAGAAGCAGGAAGACCTGACTTCAAGTTCTCAGAAATTCCATAAAAATCTGGGTGCATTTGACCCCCACCTGTAACTCTAAGGGTAGGGGAGGTGGAGACAGGGGCATTGCTGGAGTTTGCTCTGCTAGGTCAACTCCAAGATCAGTAAAAAGACCCTGTCTTAAGGGACTATGGTGGCCAGTGACAGTTCAGGACAGCTGACATCCTCTCAGGCCTCTGCACAGGTATATGTGCGCACACATGCGTGCACACACACCATTCACACTCCTGAAGTCTCTGTCTCCCTGCTTGCATTAATCTTTAGTTCTCTGACGACCAAATTTATTGTTTTCTTTTTATTTATTTAGTTTACATCCCAATCGTTGCCCCTCCCAGTCACCCCCCACAATCCCCGCCCCATCACGCCTCCTCTTCTCCTGTGAGAGGGTAGAGCTCCACTGGGTACCCCCCACAAACTTTTATTTTTTTTAAACTCAGGGTCTCATGTAGCCCAGGCTGGCCTCAAACTCATTATGAAGAAAAGGATGATCTTGAGTTTCTGATCCTCGGGTCTCCCTCCACCTCCCATGTGCTGGGGTGAGAGGCGCGTGTCACCCTGGCGTGTCAGTTTATGTGGTGCTGAGGATGGACCGCAAAGCCTCACAGATGCTGAGCAAGGGCTCTACTGACTAAGCCACACCCCCAGACCCTCTTTATATAAATCAAAAATAATCCCTGCCTCAAAACATCAGCATGATTACAAGGCACCTTCTATCTCTAGCCAAAGCCTAGGTCTAGTCCCTTCCTTGTCCCCAAAGAGCTTATAGTCCTGTAGGCGATAGGACATTAATACAAAGTGATCAAGGGAAGGACAGGTGCTGAGTCACCAGGGGCTGGAACACGGGGTGGGGGTGGGGACGGGGGCAGGGGACAGCTGCAGGGCCTGACAGAGACCCACACCTCGCTGCAATTTGAGCCCCTGCCCAGCAACAAGGACCTCGTCCTCCCACTCAGAGCAGAGCCCTGAATTCTATGAAGCTGGTAAGGCCAGCTCACTCATTACTCCCCACGATGGTCCTCCTTACCCCCAACTACCTGAATCAAAGAACATCACCAAATGAGAAGCCACGTGGATGAGAGGCTGGGTAGACAGCTCAGTCTGCACAGTGATTGTCTTGCAAGCATGGGAACCAAAACCCATGTAAGAAGACAGACATTGATGGCATGTACTTATGATCTAAGTTCTGAGGAAGAGAGAACAAGATCCCTGGGGTTCAGTGGGTAGCCAGGCTAGTCCAGTTGGTAACCTCCAGATAGCAGTGAAAGGCTCTGTCTCAGGCAAACAGGTAAAAAACCCAAAGTGGGCTGGGCATTGATGGTGCGTGCCTTTACATCTTTAGTCCCAGGCAGAGGCAGGCGGACCTTTGATTGAAAGTGAACCTAGTCTACAGAGAGTTTCAGGACAGCCAGGGTGACGCAGAGAAATCCTGCTTCAAAAGAACAAACAAAAACCCAAGATGGATGGCCCTGAGGGACAACATTGTAGGTCGAGTTCTGCCCTTTACACATGGGTGCACACACATGGGAATGCATCCAAACACGCGTCACATGCAAAAAGAAGTCACGTGGGTGAGACTGGACACCCATGAGACTGGATACCCAACAGAGGCAACATGGGATGGACCAAATTTGAGTATCAGAGTCAGACACTCCCTCCTCCCCATAGCTCCCAGTTAAGGGGATCAGTGAAGGGAGCAAGGTCAAAGTTGAGAAGGAAAAGTCCAGAATCACTCATGAGGTCCAGGTCCAAAAGATGGGACTCGAGGTGAGGAAGGAGATCAGGACTGAGGTTGGGTCTAGGAGGGAAGGAGGAAGAGGACCAAAGCCAGGGTGCTGGGCTCCATGGGGATGGTGGGGGTGCAGGGAAGGTGGTCCCAGCCTACCATGGTCTGGCGTGCTTTCCAGTGCTGCAGCAGGTCTGGGGACAGCTTGGGGTGGCTCTTTAAATAGTGCTCCTCCAAGCCAGGCACCATCCCAGGTCTAGACAACAGTTTGGAAGGTGACCAGGGACAAGATGAGGGGCATTCAAGCTGGTCATCTCCCCGGAGCTGTGGGGAGTGGGTGGCAAAGGCCACCAATGTGGAGACTGTCTAAGCCATGAGGATCTCCGACATCCCTAAGCCAACTGTTTTCTCTCTAGCCAAGGGACCATGGACCAGGAAGGGGGCAAGTGGCCAGGGACATGCCGAGTAAGTCAGTGTGATCAACCAGCTGGGAAGGCTTGGCATTGGATCCATGAGGGTCAGAGGGCTCCTGGAAGCAGAGGCGCCATGCCAGCTGGGGACACTCAGAGTAAAGATAACATCCCTTGAGTTTCAGGATTCTGGGTAGGACATCTGTAGGATACTCAGTCCTATCGTGGGGACAATGGGGGATATTATGATGTCACTACTTGCAATGTGCTTTGGTCTGGTCCTCAAGGTCCCTCAGTCAACATGACTGCAGTCAGCTTCTGGAATTCTAAAACCTCACACCCCGAAAGTCTACAGATATTCAAGTCCTTTATGCAGAAGATGCGGTATTAGCCTAGAATCTGTGCACTTCTGTATGATTTTTTAAAAATTGATTTCTGGGCTGGGAATTGAACTCACAAGCTTCAGTTGCAGGCAGTAGAGTAGAGGTCCACGCCCTTTATCCTTTTCTAATACTTCTGAGCATATTTGGTTGAAACTACACATGTAGAAACTGTAGCTACACATTGCTCTGTGTACACATTGGAGGGCCATCCTTATCCACCCCTGCCCAGGGCCCCCTTCTGAACTTGAAAATGCAAAGTAAAGCCAGGAATGCTGGAGGTGCATGTCTGATCCAAGCACTTGGGTCCGGAAAGCAGGAGGGTCAGGAGTTTAAGATCAGTCTGGGCTGCAAGAGATCCTGTGGGCAGCTAGAAAGGTACCTCAGTAGTACAGCGCCTGCATAGAGTCCCCCAGTGAGGGACAGTGGTATGGCTCAATGGTGGAAGACTTGATTAGCATGCACAATCCCTAGGCTCAGCACAACACACACACGTGCACATACACACA